ACCCCAAAACCCCAAAACCCCAAAACCCCAAAACCCCTTTGGAACCATAAAAGATTGGAGATATAATCTTATTAATAACTAAATCAAAATGGAAAGACTCACTAATGAGAAAGAGGTCTCAGGCCAGACCCAAGAGCTTAATAAAAGTTTATGGGATGCTAAACTAAAAGAAATGGAAGGTCCAATGTCCCTATTCCAAAGATTTTATTTTTTGCAATCTTACCAAATGTTTATCTCGACTCCAGAGAGATTTTCAGCTTGAAAATGACTTGTAATCTACCGATAATCTGTAGGAGAGAATCCAGATTCATAACTGAACTGAACTAAAATTTAAGATTTTAAATAGAAAGATTACTTCTTTAAGAGCATTAATCAAGTTTTTTGGTATATTTAAAGATGACATTGATAGATAGCAGTTTTCCAAGGAGTGTAAATACTCTAACGATAATGATAGGAAGAGGAGTAGGAATAAATTGGGAAAAAAGAATTATGAATGGGATTTTTAGAAATATTAACAAAATTGAAGAAGGAGTTGTTTTAGTCGGGTTTTAAGCAATTTTAAGTAAATGGAATTGGATTTTATCTCTAGAGTGAGTGATTTGGGGAGATGCTTTGTTGGATTTCGACATTTGAAGAGTGTAACAATGACAAAGTGAAAACTAAGAAGGGACTGAAAGCAATCCATAAAGTAAAGATTTTCCAAATTTGTTTTTAAATTAATCATATATTTTATCAGATTAATTTTTAAATCTTACCTAATTCTTCTGACCAAAATGTAACAAAAATAGGAAATTAAAAATCCCATCAGACATAGATTTTAGGACTTCGTTCTACTCCCTCGATTTAGGTAAACCCTTTAAAATAAACTATTAGACCTCGAAATGGATAAAATGAGGATGTTAGGAGGAATTCTTACCAAAAATCCATATCTAAACTCCTCAGCTGATGTAATATGTGTAAGGGATAACCAAGGAGCTATAAAATACTTGAGAAGAGGAAAAACTGACTAAAAGCTCATTAGATAATGCTTTCTATATCATAGTGTCAATTTATGATTTCACAGCCGGGGTTTTGGGGTTTTGGGGTTTTGGGGTTTTGGGGTTTTGGGGTTTTGGGG